GTTGGTTTTATGCTCGAAGCGGAAGAATAACTGGGCCCTCTGTACTCTTGGGATTGCAGGGCTCCTTGGGATACCCTCCCAAACGACCGCTGCAGTCGTTCCCTTTCCCCCAAGCAAAACAGATCTAAGTCCAGGTGTCCCGACCACAGCCAAGGAGCTACACCTGGGTAAATTCTGGTGAGGACCAAGGAGAGGCCACCCCGGAAGTCCAGTTCCCCACTCGGTCTGGGAGTCAAAAATGAGCAGGAAGTGCAAAGCCTTGCCTGGCCTAGCACCCGGCAAGATCTGCCAGCGGAGAACTGATCTTAGGCAAGAAACTGCTGATCAAAAATTTCTTTTCAGCGGGGCGTGCTGGCGCTCCCCTGTAACCCTAGCGCTCTGAGGGAGGGAGGCTGAGGATAGCCAGTTCGAGGCCTGCCTGGGCTACAGAGCCAGACCCTGTTTCCCAAAACCAAAATAAGTAAATTAAATTAAAAATAAGTTTCTTGTCATCCTCCCGAGTTTAGGTCCAGTGCCCAGCTAGCCCAGTCACCAACTGATAAAATGATGGCTCCGAAACTCCCCGCTGACATGTTTTCCTGCAGGTTGGTAAAGGCGCACTACTCAGACTCAGGTAGCCTGGGTTGGCGCTGGCGGGGGTGGGGACGTGCAGTCCTCTCTGCCCCTGGGCCTGGGCACCGAGCGGAAGTGTCTCCCCCCCTTCCCTTTGGCAGTTTGATTTCTAGCCGGACTTGGTCCCACTGGCCAGGGAGAGCGGGCGGAGTCCCACAGCAGTCCCGGGAGGGTGGCGGCCGGTGGGTCTCTCTAGCGCGCCCAGCAGGGTGCGGCACTGCGGCCCGGGCAGGAGCCTCTGGAGATCAGGACGGGGAAGCCTGGCGGGGCGGGGCGGGGCGGGGCGGGGCCGGGCCGGGCAGGGGGCGACTCAGGACTCCTCGGACAAATCGCCCCCTGGCCACTCGGGACAGCAATTTTTTTTTTTTTTTTTTTTTTTACATTGACCGCTGACAGGCTGAGAGTTTGTTTTAGCACTGAATACCCCGGAACAAAATCCTTTTGAAAGGAGAGCTAAGTCGCTTCACACCACGAAAGTGCGGATTTGGTGAAGAATGAGGGCCGGGACAAAGCGGGGGCGCGCAGCGTTCGCGCGGGTTCCCAGGGGGCGCGCGGCACCGGGCGAGCGCGGGAAGCAGGTGGGGCGGAGGGCACCGCGAGGCCCGAACCCCCAAATCCTCCCACCCAGCACATTTCACTGCCAGCGTGGTAGAAAGGAGGAACAAGAGGAGAAAAGCACGACTGGTACTGGAGGGAGGCGAAGCAGCGGGCAAGGGAGGGCGAGGCTCCGCGGGAGCTGGGGAGCAGACGGCGGCCAGGCTGAGCGGCGAAGCTCCGGGCCAGGCCGGGCAGCGCGGAGTTCACTTAGCAAGTGGGGACGGCGGTATTGTTTTTGGCGCCTAGGAAACCTGGGGAAGTTGCCGGGTGCTTCCCCTCCACCTCCCTCCCGTGTTTGGTAAATATTAACAAACCCGAGCGCGTTCTTTTCTGGAGTGTGGAGGGGGGGTTGGGGGTGGGGTGGGTACCGCGGTCCCCCCCCCCCCGCCCCAGCCCCACTCTTGGCTCACACACCTGCTTGACAACAGAAGGAATCAAAATCAATATTGTATTTGTCACCCCTCGGTCTCCTTTTTACTCCCTCAGCAGCCCGGGTGCCACTGAAGCGAATTGTGGATTTATGGAGGGAAATTAGCATAAATTATTACGAAATCTGTAGCGGTGTGTGGTCCAGCTTGTGGGAAAAGAGCTATTCCGAACTCTCCAAGCAGAAAGGTGGTCGGTGGTGAGCTCTGCGGAGGCGATGAATGGCTATTGCGCGAAAGAGATTTCCATTTGGTTTGCACATGGGTATAATTGACTTATGTGTATTTTATACAGTTTTCCCAACTCTCTAAGCCTCCGGGTCGGATGTGCCCCCTCCATCTTCTGTTTGCTTTGGGTTCTGTACAATAGACTCTGATGCACTTCTCAAGATTTCTGGAAAGTGCTCTTTCCCTCCTCCTCTTTATAATACCAGTCTTAAAATGCTGCAAATAACATGCAAAGCCTCCCTCCCTCCCCCGGCTTTGCAGACCTCCCACAGAAACCGAGATGTAACTTTGTAGCAAAGCACAGTTTTAAATGTGCATTTCACCCCTTCCCTGCCTGGCAAGGCAAACTTGGGCTACTAAGTACGATTTAGAATTACTTAATCCTTGGCAAGGACAAGGTGCCTCAATTCCTGGTCCTACAGTAGCTTAACTTTGAGGGATCCTCCTACGTGTATCACTGCATGCCCCCAACCTGCTGGTGACAATTTCTCCGGGGAGACGGACAAAGATTTATTCCAACTTGTGTGTTTAACTCAGACGTTTCCACTCTTCGAATTTAGTTAATCTCCTGTTTACACTGAGCAATGGTTTCGACAGCCATACAAACGTCCTTTTTGAGGGCAACAAAATGCCAATTGTTAAAATAAGAAAACACCGTTCTCTCGCGATTCCCCATTCTCAGTCTGAACCCAGACCCAGTAGCAGGAAAGAGTCTTCGTGGCCGTCACTGGGAGATCTTTCATTCTTATGATCACCAGCTCCAATCCAACCACCTTAAGTATTTTATCCGCCTTTACATTTCAGTAAGAGTGGGTGCATGTTGCTGAAAGAATACCAAGAAAATCCCTGGGGGCCTCCATCAGTACCTTTTCGCTCTAGGAACCCTGCTGCCTTCACCCACAAAAATTCGATTTTTCACCTCCGAAGCCAGACGTAGTCTGGAGCAACAAAGACTCGGACCCTCAACCTCCCCACCTCTTTGGGCTCCCCAGGTTCTCCTATACGAGACCCTCAAGCCAAATGCAGCCCGCCGCCAAGAAACCCCTCAAAACCCCACCTCGCGAGGGCCGAAGACCGCACCCCACGCTCCGCTGCGGTTCTGGTTCCGCCCGAGTCCGGGCTGCCTCACACTTCGGAGAAGGGCTACACACTGATCTGCCCCGCTGGAGCAGAGCCCCAGAGGCGGGTCAACAGCCCACCCCACCTCCTGGCACCCACCTCCTCCGCCCCGTTATATTTTCCGAACTAAGAAGGTGACATTATTCTTTTCTTCAAGCACTTCTGTTAATATTGAAAAACGTGCGCTTGCATCTCAAGCAAGGCAGCCCAGACTCGAGACCCATTTCAATATTAATGAAATTGTTTAATCTCCTAAATTCATCGTGTTGAAGTTACGTTTTGGTGAGTTATTGACCACCTCCGCAACTGCGAGCTCCGAATGATCTTTTTTTGGTGCTAACCTCAAATAGCCCTGCTAATAATATTCTAAGACCACTTAAAGCATCGAAACTTCACGCCCAGAACTCCTGGCCAGCACCTCCCGGGGCAGGAGAGCGCTCACACTTCGGACTTTGATGACGACTCCTTGTAGGCTGTAGGTATGGAGCTTTAAACAACATGGTAAAACGAATTTCTCCTTAAAATCACAGCGGTCGGAGTGTGCAGAAGCGCGTGGGAGCGCCTGGCGCCTACCACCAGACTGCGTGTGCGCAGTCGGTGCCGACTCACTATTTCTTTCATAGCAATTTGATGATGATGACGACGACGATGATAGTGATAATAATGATTCAGTTAACCCTCCCAAGGCAAATCCGAACCCAAAGGAGCCTGCTAGAAGCACCTGGCAGAATGATCTGAGGCATACCCCCACCCCAACCAAAAAAAAGAAGTACTGCTGTTTTAATAGGACTGCAGGTAGCTTTCACTGGCTTCTCTAAACCCTAAACAAACTCTCAATATGTGTGGGGGGGGGGGAGTGTGTGTGTGTGTGTGTGTGTGTGTGTGTGTGTGTGTATGTGTTGGGGGTGGCTGTAAAATGCAAACTCACAAACTTCCCGGAAACGCTTGAGTCCTAAAGTTTCAAAGCTCCTGGGGAAGGAGGAAGCGAGTCCAGCTCTGGCCTCCCCAGGTCCGCCCCAGCGGCCCGGACTGTGTCCATCCAAACTGCTGGGAGACTTTTAAAAGCAGAGACCTTGCCTCTTCCTCCAGATAAACCATCGTTCTTTTTAAAATTTGGTCAGTACATTTAAAACAGGCTCTTAAGTGGGGCTGTTCCATTGCACGTCCTGTTTTTTAAACCTCATCACTTTTTTTTAAGCTATACACTCCCAAGCTGTGCAGAGCTGAAGCAGCAGCTCAGGAAGGTCGAATCAAACTTGGGCCTGCTCTTAGAGGACCGGGGAAGGGATGTTTCCATCCTAGCAACCCAAGCAGCCAACCCCTGGAATGCCCAGCGAAGCCGTGCCTGAAGCTGGTTAACAATACAAACCGGATACAACGCGGAGGAAACAGAATACCCCAGCCAGGCACTTTCCGTGTCATGCATCATCTGCGCGGCGGCTTCGTCTGTGCGCGTGAATGGTCGCTGGGCTCCCCCGCTCCGCGCCGGCCTCCGCACACCTCCGCTCCGCGCGCCCTGGCCAGCGCGCCCGCTCCCTGCCAGTGGCCCCGGCTCTTCCCCCGCGCCCGGCTAGTGCTGGAAGTGGTTCCTATTGGCCAAGGTGTCCGAGTAAATAGGTATGAAAGAAACCGGAGCCGGCCAGGCTCTCCGCCTGCTCAGTCCCTCCCTCTCCAGCCTGCACCTCCCCCTTCCCCCCCCTCCTCCCAAGGCGATTGTCATATGATAGCTAAGAAGTGGCACATTAATGAAGCGCCGCTACAGGGGTCTTTTCTGCTCCTGTCACCGCTTAAAACTATCAGATGGTTCGAGGGAGGACATGGAGGCAGCCACCTAGCTCAGCGCAGCCGCGGAGCCCACAGCAGCGCCCTCCCGAGTCCCGAGGCCGCCGCTGCCCACGTCCGCGCCCGGACACTGCCGCCCAGCTCCGCCGTCCGCGGGACACACGGCCCGGACCCGGCGGCGCGGGGCGCTTCGGGGCTGAGCTCCGGAGCCCAGGTCCGCGCGCGGTTCGTCGGGACCCGGACGCTGCGCTGGGGCCGTGCGGCGGAGACCCGCAGGGCCATCCCGGATGCGGACGCTCAACTTGGAGCAACTTTAAGGTGAGCAGCTGTCGGTTCAGTCCCCGCCCCAGTCTGCGCTCCGGCCCCGCTGGTTTTCCCGCTGCCTTCGTGCCACTCGCCCGCTTCCCCTCCCGCGCGCCCCGGCTGGCTCCACCTCAGGGCGCAAAGTTGCAGGCGAAATCAAGTGCTCGGCCTGGCCTGGCCGACCTTGAGCGGTCTCTGCATCCGCGCCACCCTTCCCCTCCCTGCCGCCCCCTCCCCAGATCCGACCGGCCCGCCGGCCCGCGCGGACCCCGAGCGAGAAGAGAAGAGGGCAAACACGAAGATGCCTCGGCCGGGCCGCAACACCTACAGCGACCAGAAGCCGCCCTACTCGTACATCTCGCTGACCGCCATGGCCATCCAGAGCTCGCCCGAGAAGATGCTGCCGCTGAGCGAGATCTACAAGTTCATCATGGACCGCTTCCCCTACTACCGGGAGAACACGCAGCGCTGGCAGAACAGCCTTCGCCACAACCTCTCCTTCAACGACTGCTTCATCAAGATCCCGCGGCGGCCGGACCAGCCCGGCAAGGGCAGCTTCTGGGCGCTGCACCCCAGCTGCGGGGACATGTTCGAGAACGGCAGCTTCCTGCGGCGCCGCAAGCGCTTCAAGGTGCTCAAATCCGACCACCTGGCGCCCAGCAAGCCGGCTGACGCGGCGCAGTACCTGCAGCAGCAGGCCAAGCTGCGGCTCAGCGCGCTCGCCGCCTCTGGCACGCACCTGCCGCAGATGCCCGCGGCCGCCTACAACCTGGGCGGCGTGGCGCAGCCCTCCGGCTTCAAGCACCCCTTCGCCATCGAGAACATCATCGCGCGGGAGTACAAGATGCCCGGAGGGCTGGCCTTCTCCGCCATGCAGCCGGTGCCCGCGGCCTACCCGCTCCCCAATCAGTTGACCAGCATGGGCAGCTCGCTGGGCACGGGCTGGCCGCACGTGTACGGCTCTGCTGGCATGCTCGACTCGGCCACCCCGATCTCCATGGCGAGCGGCGACTACAGCGCCTACGGGGTGCCGCTGAAGCCGCTGTGCCACGCGGCGGGCCAGACGCTGCCCGCCATCCCCGTGCCCATCAAACCCGCGCCGGCCGCGGTGCCCGCGCTGCCCGCGCTGCCCGCGCCCATCCCCTCCCTGCTCTCGCACTCGCCGCCCTCGCTCAGCCCCACGTCCTCGCAGACAGCCACCAGCCAAAGCAGCCCCGCCACCCCCAGCGAGACGCTCACCAGCCCGGCCTCCGCCCTGCTGTCCGTGGCGGTTCACTGACCCGCAGGAGTCGCGCCTGCCCTCGTCCCCTCCGGGCCGCCCCGCGCACACCTGCCCCGGCGCCCTGCCCGCTCTCTGCGACCTCGGCCCGCCGCCCCAACTTGTCCTGTCCACCTCCGGCCGACCTTCTCTCTTCCAGAACTTTGCTTTTGTTGTTTTGCTTTGGAGACAAAATTCAAACTTGCCCGAAGGCGCACGGGAGGTCTTGGCCCCGCGACCCGGAAAGCGAGGGCGACCAGAGCCCAGCAGCCCCCACCCCCACCGGAGGGCGGGGATCCGGCGCGCCCAGGCAGAGAACGTGGCGCGTCCTTCCCGGCCCGGATCCGCAGAGCTCCGGACTCTGCCCAGTTGTGGCGCGGGAGAAACTGCCCGGAGGTTTCCGAACACATCCCGGCGAGCTGGAGCTCCCGAGGTCCGGAGAATCTGCAGCGAGAGGAACCACTCACTAATCTTCCCACCCCGCTCGCCTCCGCCCCTCGGGCGCAGCTTCCCGGGGCTGGGGCCCAGCTCCGGGGGTTGGCGGTTGGCCGTTGGCCGAAATCTTTTTTGTTGTTTTGTTTGGGGTTTTGTTTTCTGCCTTAGGCTCCGGGAGCGCGAGTTAGGAGAGAGGCTTCTAACCTGAGAGAGGGACCCTCGTCCTCACCAGGAGCAAAATAAAACTAAAAGTAACCTTGTATTGTTTACAGAGGGCCCGGTAAAATGTAAACAGTGAACTTGACTCTGTCTCCTTAGGCGAGCGAGTGGGCAAAGCCCACTTTACAAGTACCTGTTGTAATGTGAATGTTTACTCTTCATTTCTGGCCAGGTTGAGGGGAGGGGGGATGGGAAAGTTAATTGGGATGTTAACTTTCTTGTTACTTAGAGACTTTCTTAGCTATTTATTTTATTGAAGAAGAAAAAGAAGGAAGGAAGAAAAGAAGGAAAGAAGCAAGCAAGCAAGCGAGAAAGAAAGATAAAATAAGTCCAAACCAAGAAAGGACCAAGGGCAAGCCTGAAGAGTTTAGACCAGCTGACTGGTATCAGAAGAGGTGTCAGCAGATAGTTTCCCCTGGACAAGTCTTTCTGTTTGTTAAAAGAACTTTTCCATGAAGCTAAAGGGCTGCAAAGAGATGTAAATAGTTGTGAATAGGAATGATTATACACTGTGTAAAATGCACTTTTGTTTGCTATATTCCTTTAGACTCTTAGGTGATTTGCTGGAAAACGAACTGTTGTTCTGGTGTGACCTGCTTAAATTAAAAAAAAAATTTGTAGTGTCATCAAAGCTGTAAAATTTTAACCTTCATTTTCTTCCTCCCTGTACAGAATTAGCATGACATTTTAAATATTGATGTTCTTGTTCCCAGCATGCCTGTTTTAAGACAAAGAATTTTAAAAAGGTGTCTACATTAAATTATGACCTAGTCTAAATAATATTTTCTCATTAAAATATGTAAATTCAAATTTTAGTTTCGTGTGTTTTTGAAGAGTTGCTACAAGCAACAACTTTGCAAAAGATGGATGGAGTGCTTCCCTACCTACGCTTTCTGCAATATGAGTACTTTTCCTTTTTATATCATACTGTGAAGAGTCCAGCCTCTTCATGGGTACTTGCGGAATGTGGGAGGATTTATTCAAATGGACTCTTGAACATATTTGTGTATAGGGAAAGAAGCAGAGTATTTCTATTATAAATCGGATGCACAGGTGTAGTGCTACAAACTTACTGAAAAAATATAGTACTTTATATGTATTTTTGTCTATTTTAAAATATACATATTATGAAATATGCAGCTCTTATAAGGTTTGTGTAGAAATCAGGTAGGAGATTTTAAAAGTAAAAACAGACTTACTACTCAATTCTTATATTCTGACGCATCTTATTTGGAGGGAGAATTCATTTTCTTAGTCCCTTAAATTTTTGCAGTTGTTGAACTGTTAGGTAATTTCTTTAAAGAGAAAATTTCATCTTAAATGCCAAAAAATCTGCTCACTTTGACTGGGATTGATTTCTTTCACTTCTTCATGTGGGAAAATAATACTTGATTTATTTATTCTGAAGACTCAAATGCTGTTTATTTAAATGCCTGGCTCTAAGTATTTGCTTCTCTTCAGATTTTTGCAGAAAATTAAAATTTGCCAAGAATTTAAGGTTGGAGACTAAGTGACACTTTATTGAAGGGGTCACAATATTTCCAGAATGAGGTGTGTATTCAACTAATGAAGTTACAAGACAAAGAGAAACTTAGATGGGGATTAACACTTTAGTGTGTAAAATGATTAAACAAGGCAGCCTTGTGCTCCACGCAGGAGGGTCACATAGAAAGCATGATGGATTCGCTCCATAAGGAGAATCTTTAGCACCTGGGACTATTATGCACTTAGTGGGTTACCTGGAAACAATTTAGGATTAATGCAAAGGGTAATTAATCCATTGTGACCATTTGTTTTTAAAGGAAGGATCCCACACACAGCCAAAAGGGGGGAAAAAAGTGGAAAATAAATGAATCATTGGACTGATTAAAATGCATGAAGCTTCTAAAGCTCGTCCGACAGGGGACAAATACACTCATTCATCAAGCCCAATTCACAATTATATCAACAAGATCAGCCAAAGAAAGCCTGAAAAACTTAGCCACCCTGGGTCAGGAAACTCTTGAAACTTAGTTCTCAACAAGAAATAATCTAAATTTTTAACAAGTAAAGCCTTTTTCACAGTTACCTGCAAAATAAAATTAAGACCTTCTCTAGAATATTCTAATCTCTTCAAATTTAGTAACACTGAATTTGAGCTGGGGGTGAAGGAAGAGTAAAGGGTAACCTTGGGCCTCAAACATTTTATAAATCATCCCTTTAGATAGGTAAACTAGTCCTCCTTTAATAGGTGCTAGAATTCAGAGATAAGTGAGATGAACATACATTTAAGACATAAAGGCAAATAAGGAACTGATCCAATTTCTGATCTTTAGCAGAGAAATTTCAGCTTATTATTTGAAAATGCTCTTTTCAGCTGGTAAGTTCGTCATGGTGTACTGCAAAGAATGAAGTAACGTGGGCATTGTGAGCCTGCCTTTCACAATTGCAGGAATCTTTTCTCAAGACAACTTGAATGAGTAAAGTAAAAAGAAAAAAGAAAACAAAACAAAACACAAACTCATTGATGATATTCTGACCTGGATCAGAAATCCGAAGGCGGCCCAAACACACGAGCCCCTACCCTACTGCATCCCTGTCTTTACCTGAGCCCCCCAGCTTTGAGACTGGTGCCCATTTGGCGGAAGTGCCCCACAAACAAGGACGTTCACAGCTATGATACCTTCAATGGTTCTCTTTGTCATGTTAACTCTTTTCACCTGGCTCAAGTCCAAAGTCAACACACGTAGCTTTAAAATAAAACTAGAGAAGACAACACCATGGAGTGAGAAGGTGTGTTGAGCGCGCGCGGGGGTGTGTGTGTGTGTGTGTGTGTGTGTGTGTGTGTGTGTGTCCACCAGCACACACTGGTCTTACCCTGGGAACTGAGATAAGGTACATTATTTTCTATTTTGTAAATGTGGGCAGTGCTAATTTTTTAAATATATGTTTTGGATTTGGAAGCTTGGTTGGTTATGCTGTTCCTTCTGGTTTTTCTTCAACATGGTTCTGTATTTAATTGTATTTTAGAAGTTTTCTCTGTGATTTGAGGAAATGCTTAAACAATGGGTGGATTCTGTGCACTTTCTGAAGAGGGGAGCTGCAGAAGTTCTCATTGTCCCTCCTGGCTGATTTGAGGGCTTTGAGAAGCCTAAAGACTCAAAAGCCCGCAGCTAGGAGTACACGAGCCTCAGAGTGACTTAAATATTATAGCTGTGAATTTAATTCCTCTAAATGGATAAGAACGCTGAGTGTCCTAGAAGCATGAATCTAGCCTGGAGCTCAAGTAGGGTAAGATTAGGGGGAGGGAGGGAGAAAGATCCAGACTATAGATTTTGCAAGGTTTATGCAAGGTTAGGGATGGAGAGGTGGTGCAGAGTGGAAGGAGCTGTACGGTTTCTACTGTTACAACTGAGGACTCCTTTTGTCATAGGCATCCAGTTAAGAAACTGAAAAACTTGGGATCTGTCCTTAAATTCTTAATATAAACCTCAATTAATTTTGTTTTTCTTCTCAAAGGCACGTATGCAGGGAGACACCCAAACAAAAACAAAACAAAAACAACCCAAACCACCGGCTGTGAAGCCTCAAAGGGGCTGCATTTGTTTCGTTTAAACTAACAACAAATTATCTAATTAATATGTTTCAATTACAGCATGAAAGGGACAGCCCCTGGACCGCCCGCCGTGGGGGCACAATAGCCCCAGAGACCACTCTAGGAATTTACAATAACTTCACATCTGTTTCTTTATTTCCTACTTTTTGAGTCTCAAACTCGTCTCAAAATCACTTCACATTGTGGCCTGAGTTATGAAATATGTCCCAGTGTTAGAGGGGGATGCAACTTTGCCCATGGATGCTTCATTTGCAAGCAAAAAAATGAAAGCCCATTGAAGAGCATTAAACAAATATATTAGAATTCTGTCACTTTATGCAATTGAGTAGATCAAATGAAGGGTCCCGGCCACTTCATTCACTCTCATTCACTCGAATAGAAAATGCAAAGAATAGCAACCCGAGACTGGGCCACCGATGTAGATTTAGCTCCTTTTTACTGGGAGACAAAAAGGCTGAATTTTCACAAACACATTGCTGGCTCGGGGACTAGGAAACCAGCATTGGAACCCCTTTGGAATTTAAATTCATTTTATCTTCCTCTCTCTTTGCAGGGATCTGTTTGCACTACAGTGCAAGATGCAGGCATCCCCTGGCTTCTAAAAAAGGGGGAGGGGAGAAAGTGGGGGGCAGGCAGTGTGGGACTCTGGTTTCCCAAGGAGCTCTCGGTGATTAATGAACACACAGGTCTGAGATAATAGGTTTGAGTTAAGCAAATCTTCATCTACAGCAATATAAACATCATCACATTACACACATCTCCCAGTCTCTTACCTCCATGCTTGGCCTGGATTACACACCCACAGCTAGTTTTCAAAGACCAGAATCACAACTGTGACATCCCGTTTTCTTCTTTTCACTAGTGTCACAACAGACTTGAAAGCTGAGCTTCCAGCCTTACCTGCTCTGCCTCTCATTATCTGTCTCTGTCTTCTCACCAGTGTGAACTTTTCTCTATCTCTCTCTTGGACATCTTTGCAGGGTGCTAGCTATGTGTCTGAGGAGAGTGATGTTTAGACACATTATGTTAAATTCAGGAGAGAAGATACTCTTGGATTATTAGATAGCAACCCATGGCCCATGGGCCACTTGGCTTCTTAAGAAAATGTTACAATAAAAATTATAAAAGGAAACAAGGCTTATTATTTGGTATATTATATATTTTATATGCAGCCTAAGACAATTCCTCTTCACTCAATGAGGCCCAGGGAAGCTAAAAGGTTGGACACCAATTGGTTAGAATTTCCAAGTATGAATTCTTCTACATTTTCATCTTCCATCCCCAGGGAGACCAAGCCACATGTGTCAGGGTGAGACCATCTTGTGGGGATACCTTCTGTCCTATGTCTTCCACTGTAGGCATTTTGCCTTGGTGAGCTTTACAAACTTTTATGTGTCAACATCTCAGAGAGCTTACAACAAATTAGTAGAGTTGCTTCAAGAGACTGAGAAGGAAAAAATAAAGAGGGAAATGTCTTAGCTTCTGAAGTACATTGGGAGAGGAATGAATTAATTTTTCTTCAAACTTGAAATATAAATGAGATCTATTCTGAATGTGAAAGTATTGGAGAGCTCTTCTATTGCCTTTTAAGGTTTTGTCTTATACTGCTTCTCAGGAACATTGGGACTTTTAACACTTAACATTTTATTTGTAAAATTTATAAGGTCATATTTACAATCTCCATTTAATTTTTGGGGTTGATCCCTGGAGCTGGGAAGGGGAAGAGGGAAGAGAGGGAGCTGAGACTTCCAGATTTTTAAAAAAGAATGTTGAAGAAATAGTTGGTGGTTTTATAACCAGAAGCTTGCAATGTCACCGGAACTAATAATAAACCAATCAGGAATTATCCATGAAAAATCGGAGTTGTTTAAATAAAACCTTTCTTGGAAGAGTTTCCTTCTAGAACATCAGAAATATCTGGACAAAAT